AACAGGTGGGTTGAATAATTTTATACTTCTTTATTTTTGCTATAGTGTTCACTAGCTAGTTCAAAGTCCATTAGTACTAAGTCACCTGAACAGCTAGAGAGGGATTAGGATTATGAATTTTTCTTAATGATAAGAAGTATAAAACCAAACAACTTAAAAGAATAATCCTAATATTCAAGTATGTGTCTCAGATCTTTCCCCTTCAGTTTTCTTCTACCATCTGGATTTACTTTTTTACTAGTACATATTAATTGTACAAAGAGGTTTCATATGATGTCCCTACACTTGCATACAATGCATTTGATCAAATTCACCTCTCTACTACTCTTTCTTTACCTTGCTCTCTTTTGCCCTTTTAAACAATTTTAAACAGGATTCATTATTATAGTTTCATTCATGTAAATTAACCATCTCAATAATATTCACCCTCATCACTCTTCTATTGATCCCAAAGCTTAGAGTCCTATTTTTATTATGATGCCATGCATTTTCTTTTTACATCAAGAATTTATATATGAGAGAATACACATTGTCTTTCTCTGTTTTATTTCACTTAATGATTTCTAGCTCCTAGAAATGTTTTCTACAAATGATATAATTTCATTCTTCCATATGGCTGAATAACACCCCAATGTGTATATTTACCACATCTTCTTTATTCATTCATCAATCAATGGACACCTTGAATGACCCACTTAGTCTCAATTATTTACTTGTAGTTCAACTGGCTACTCTATTAAAATGTAAGGACAGGGACCACAACTGTTTGGTTCTTTGTTTTACTTAATTAATCTAATGCCTAAAAATAGTTGATATTTAGTAGGCAATATGTATTTGTTGAAAGAATGAGCATTACCTGCATGATAGATTTTGTTAATATAAGTTATCTTATTGTATTATAATACCAACCTTTAAAATAAAAACTTTAGGCAATATGGAACTGAAGCTCAGAGAATTTAATACAAATGTTCAGTTTTACAAGCTAGAAAGTTCTGGAGCTGAAATTAAGTTTAGGTCACTCTAATGTCAAATATTTAGTGCTTTTTTTTTCTATACAACGCTGCTTACCTTATTTGTACCAGGTGTTTGATCTCTAAAATTCATCATGGTCTCAAAAGACAATAGAAAGGTCAATTCTCATGAGGAAGAAAGAAAAAGGAGCTTAGGTAAGCCCAGTAACTCCTAGGGGAAAACAGAGATTCAAGCCCTCCAACTAGGCCCAAAGACAAAAGAAGTTCAATTTGGAATCACTCTCTTAAAATCAGAACCAGGAGCATGGCCAATCTGCACAGTGCAGTGACTCATATGACACCAAAGGCATCAGTGACTGTGCTTAAATCCAGCCATTCATGGCTCAGACATGGCAGAGGGTAAGACTTCCCTGGTTCTTCTTTGGACTCTTCTGAAACAGAGCTAGAGCTCTTTAATTATTAAAAGGCATACATGAAATTTGAAAGTTGAGTGGAACTGGCCATAGAAGAAGCCCCATTTAGTTACAGGCAAGGTTCAATTGCTTAACTGAATATGATTTCTATTTTTTATGCGTTGTTGGAAGATCTTATTAGTTCCTTTCTTCTTAGGCCTCAGTTTATGATTTCTATACCCTTAGTTATATTTAAACCTACCAGAAAATTGATATCCATGGTGGTTTTGTTGTTATTGTTGTTGTTGTTGCCTCCTGTGAAGTCTTTTTTTCTTGTAAAGTTTTTTGAGTCAAGAAGCTTTTGGACCTGGTAGCTTTGAGAGAAAAAGCACTTTTTTCTAATCTCGATATTTTTCAGTGGATGATTCAGGGAATATTCCCTTCAGAGAAGCATCCACGAGACTAAAGATATCAATCTTTCCAATCTTCACTAACAGCACACACTATACATCTGTCAGGAACTGAGGCTCCATTTTAGTAAAGTAAAAGAGAAGTTCTAACAAAGAAAAGGCAGTTGCTGAGAAAAGTAACAACTCTAGAGAAAGAACTCCAGCATGAGCTTTGTTGAATTCATGTACTCATTCATTTAATTAGTTATTCTAAAACACATATAAATGGCTTATTCTAGACAGTTATATTGTGAAGGAATTTATAGATGGAGATGTGTGTGTGTGTGTGTGTGTGTGTAATCACAGTAATTAAAAGGCTTTAAAATATACAGGAAAAACAAAGATGACTAATCCTATCTGAAAGTATCACACAACAAACAGTTAAGTTTTAAGAGTCAGAAGGAGTTGGTGAGGTAGAAGAGGTGTTGTGCACAATCAGAAGTGATGGTAGTCATTAAGACACAAAATGAACTGATGTGTTCTGTAAATAGCAAGAAGCATAGCATCACAACAAAGGAAAGAGAGACGATGTGGAAGACCAGTGATGACACAAGTTTATGACCAACAAGATACGCCTTATAATTATTTCACATGCCTTCTTGAAAACATAGTTTTTAATATTGTAACTGAAATTTTCCTTAACTGTAATAGAGATATCAACTCTAATTGTGGTTTGTTATGTTTAACAAGGGGATATGATAATGCTATTTAAGTAACAGTGTTAGGCTCAGAGAAAAATGAGAAAAGAATGTAAAGCACAAAGCATCCATCTTTACAACCTCAGTAAGTATCGTCATTATTGTGATCCCTACCAGGTTTTTTGTTTTGATTTGGTTTGGGTTTGGGTTGTTTTGTCAATCATGGGACTTGAACTCTGGGCCTGGGCACTGTCCCTCAGCTCTTCAGCTCAAGGCTAGCATTCTACCAGTTGTGCTACGGTGCCACTTCCAGTTTTCTGTTGGTAATTGGAGATAAGAATCTCACAGACTTTCCTGTCCCAGCTGGCTTTGAACTGCAATCCTTAGATCTCAGCCTCCTGAGTAGCTAGGATTAGAGACATAAGCCACCAGTGTGAGGCCATCAGTTTTATTTTAATGGTTTTATGACTAATATATAATAAATATGGCTCATCATGGCAAATGTGGAAATCTAGACAAATATAAGAAAATAAATATCCTATTACTATTTGACTTAAACAGCTTAAGGTTTTTCTTATACCCTTTCAGTCTTCTCGCACAGCACAGATTGGAAACTAAGTGAATAGTGATGTGTTCTTATGTTTCATTACATATTATATGGAATTATTACACAACAGCATTTAATGGTCCTCAAATGTTGCTTTGGTGCTTATAGGATATTTTCTTAAATACTTCTTTTGTACTTGAGCCATTCCTTCATGTGTGTTTATAAACATTTAAAGTTTATCATTACAATGGTCATCCCTAGACAAACTGAAGCATAAGTTACTGCTTTCATATCTTTACTAGAAAGGGTTCTCCAGAAAATGTTCAAAGAAAATTTTCAAAGAAAGTTAATATATGTAATCTTAAACAAAGTAAGATATGCCTATTACAATGTCCTATATGCTCTCATATATAACCCATATATGTTCTCAATACATGCTAGCCCCTCTCTCATCTCTCAAACTCTAGCCAGGTAAGAAAGTTTTGTGCAGACTAGAAAAATCCACCAGGTTCACTATGGCTCACAACTATTATATAAACTATTAACAGACATAGACAGGAAAATTTTTAGTTCAAGACTCCATCTAAACCAATAAAAGCTAGACATGGTACCATGTGCCTATTACCTAAGCCACATGGGAAACATAAATAGGTTGTTCATGGTTTGGGCTGGGTCAGGCATAAGCACAATGCACAATGCTCAAAACTTTTTATTTAATATTTTATTTTAAAGCTGATGTATGGAGGGGTTATAGTTATATAAGTCAGGTATTGAGTACATTTCTTTCTAAACAGTGTTACCTCTTCCCTCATTTTCTCCCAGTTTTTTCCTGCCCAACCCATCTCCCCAATAAGTTGTATAGTTCATTTTCAACATAGTGGCCAGTGGGTATCACTGCTGCATTTGTTCACCCTTTTCCCTCCATTTCTATGTTTTTACTTCTTTTTCCCAAACCATATAAACTTACATACAAGATAAAAGTTACAGAAATTAGAAACAGTGATCAAAGGGGAAAAACACAAAAAGTAAAATAAAAAGCCTATTGTTTCCATTTCTTGGAGTTCATTTCAATGAGCATCATTTTATAGGATCACATGCACATAGCTATTGAACCTTTGTGATCCTCTCCCAAGAATATCCTCATTTGGTCTCATTGTATGGATGTTTAGAGTACTTTTTAATTTATCATGTCCACATGCAATTTTTGGTCTTTTACAATCCATTGGGTTTACTTCTGGATTTACAGGTACATTCTAATTGTCACAAATGAGAGAAACCATGAACCCTTTGAGTCTGGCTTATTTCACTTAATATAATTTTTCCAAGTCTTTCCATTATGAATAGGGCAATGTCATTCTTTCTGATTTAAGCATAGAATTCCATTGTGTATATATACCACATTTGTCCACTGAGGGGCATGTGGGTTGATCCCATATCTTAGCTATAGTAAACAAGGGTGCACTGAACAACTAAAGATGGCTGGGAATATGGATCAAGAAGTAAAGCAACTACCTAGCAAGTACAAAGCCTTGACCTCAAAACTTCAGTACCAAAACACGATCAATAGGTGTTCTATATTATAATTAAAATTAATTATAAATATATTTCTAGAGTTTGAATAAATTCATATATGTCTGTTCTTCAATGAGATCATGAGCATTGGGCATTTTATTCAAAAAATCACCATTGTCCTGCCAAATGTGTTCTTTCATGTCTTCTTCAGAGATTCATGATTCTGACTTTGCCTGGGTTTTCTCAGTATATTAGTACTCAAATGTCAACTCCCTCAGAAGCAGAATCACACCCTCACAGTAATCAAACTCTAGATATATTTTACTTGCATCTTTATTCTTAGACAACACTAAACTGTTCCTCTTATAAATAGATCCTGAAGTTGCCACCTTCCCTGACACTAAGGAGGATTCAAGAAAACAAATGTGGAATCTGACTCCTTCAGTCAAGAACCTCTCCCATGACTACACTGTGGCTTCCTGTCTGCCTCCATGGCTGCAGGAAACTGGACACGAGTAGATGAGTTTATCCTCATGAGCTTCTCTTCCCTACCCAAGGAAATGCAGCTGCTGCTCTTCCTGGCATTTCTGGCCATCTACCTGGTCACCCTGTTGGGAAACAGCCTCATCATCGTGGTCACCTTGGCTGATCCCATGCTTCACAGTCCCATGTACTTCTTCCTCAGGAACCTGTCCTACATGGAGATTGGCTTCAACCTCGTCATTGTGCCCAAGATGCTGAGCACCCTGCTTACCCCAGACACAACCATCTCCTTCCTGGGCTGTGCCGCTCAGATGTACTTCTTCTTCTTCTTTGGAGTGGCTGAATGCTTCCTCCTGGCCACCATGGCCTATGACCGCTATGTGGCCATCTGCAGTCCCTTGCATTATCCCGTCATCATGAACCACAGGACTCGTGCCAAGCTGGCTGTGGCCTCCTGGTTCCCAGGGTTTCCAGTGGCTACCGTGCAGACCACGTGGCTCTTCAGCTTCCCATTCTGTGCCACCAACAGGGTGAACCACTTCTTCTGCGACAGCCCGCCTGTGCTGAGGCTGGTGTGCGCAGACACGGCGCGGTTTGAGGTCTATGCCATCGTGGGAACCATTCTGGTGGTCATGCTGCCCTGCCTGCTGATCGTGTGCTCCTACGCTCGCATCGCCACTGCTATCCTCCAGATTCCTTCGGCCAAAGGGAAGCACAAGGCCTTCTCCACCTGCTCCTCCCACCTCCTAGTTGTCTCCCTTTTCTATGTATCTTTAAGCCTCACATACTTTCGACCTAAATCAAACAATTCTCCTGAAAGCAAAAAGCTGTTATCCTTGTCCTACACTGTTGTGACTCCCTTGTTGAACCCCATCATCTACAGTCTGAGGAATAATGAGGTGAAAAATGCCCTGGGTCGGACTTTCCACAAGGCCCTCACTCTCCGAAACTGTATTGTTTTTGGCATCATTAGGTAACATTAACTTTTATTGAATTGAGAATAATCGGTCTCATCTTTGAGATTCACCTCTGCATTATTTTACATCTCCATTGGATTGAATCCCAATGGCTTTTGGAAAACTTAATAGATAGGAAAGAGCACAAAAGTAGTTCAGACCTAATAATACTACCTGTAAAAATAATTCCTGACACCAGCCCCGTGGAGACATATTCTTTTCCTTAATAATTGTACTTTTTTTCAATTGTTTTATGGCCTACTGTTTATATGTATTTGTATTCCTGACAGGGTGAGCAGAGCGTTCTGATAATTTTTACATTTTACAGAAAAATCAATACAAGGCCATCCTAAAGCATCTTTTTACTTTCTCTTCCTCTGGTCAATCTGATTCTCCCTTGAAATTCTCAGTTCTCATGTCTTTGAGGAATAATAGTTCCTTTAAACTTCTTGGTCTGTAATATAGATGTAGAAAGGCAGATCAATAACTTTCCTACAACTTCATAGTATCAATTATCCTTTTTCTCTCATTAGATTCTTTCCAGGAAAGATGAAATGAGATCCCATGAATTCTATATGTCATATTTAGGTTGAAATAAATCATTTCAGTTATGGTTCACTCTCATCAACTTTCAATTCATCCACCTGATTCAGCATAGGTCTTCTTTAGCTCCAAAAATGTTTTCCATTCTTTTTATAACCTAATGAGACTATTTTTAGGCTTGCCATAATTTATTTAATCATTCTTTTACTATAAACAAATAATGTCAAATAGAATAGCCTTAGAAATATGCTTGTTAATGGTTTTCTTACTGTATTTGAAAGATGAAAATCTATGCATATGTACATATATAACATTGTATATTAGTAAAATTTTCCTCCTTCCATGTGACTGCATCATTTTAGACAAACAGAAATTCATGACTGTGCTTGTTTCTTGATAGCTTTGTTGATAACATGAAACATTTTTTGTCATGAAACATTTATACTTATTTAATATGTAAAATCTCAAAATTTGGGTGAAAATAAGTTTGAAGAATGAGGAAAAAATAAGTGAGACAATCAGAGAAAAGTCATCATTTATTATGTTCAAATTTCTGAGTTTCTGTTCAGATAATTAGCATTGGGGATGACTTAATATTCTATTTTTTCTCCTTAAAAGATTCTTTCTGACTGGATAAATGGTATTTCATCAATCTGAAGAGTTTCTACATGGATAAGGACATAACTAGCAAGAAATATAGAAAACTAACAGAAAAGGAAATCTTTAATAACTATGCATCAGACAAGGACCTCATATGTAAAATATACTTAGAGGTCAAACAATTAAACCCCCACAAACAAATCCTCAAACAACCACCCCACTAATAATTTCCTCTGAAAAAGAAATAAGAATGGCCAATAGACACATCTCTGGCCATAAAAGAAATGTAAATCAAGACAACATTGAAATTCAATCTTATCCTAGTTAGAATGGCCATTATCAAAAAAATCTAATAACAACAGATGCTGGCAGAGATTGGCCAGAAGGGAACTGTTGGTGGGAATGGAAACTTGTTTAACCAGTTCCTGAAAAGACTAAATATAGAGCTTCCCTATGACCCAGAAATTCCACTCCTGGGTATCTATCGAATTGACCAAAAACCAGTCCACACTAAAGCCACCAGAACAACCATGTTCATTTCAGTTTTGTTTACAAGAGCTAAGATATGGAATCAACTCAGATGGGTTGATGGATGGGTTGATGGATGAATGAGTGGATGAATGGATCAAGAGAATGTGGTATGTAAACAATTGAATTCTATACTTCATCAGAAAGAATGATTTTGCCCCATTTATAAAGAAATGGAAAGACTTGGAAAAAATTATCTTAAGAGAACTAAACATACCCAAAGAAACATAGTTATATGATTTCCCTCATTTGCAATAATTAAAATGTGCCTATAAATCTATAAGTAAACCCAATGGATAGTAAAAGAAAAGAACTACACTTGGGCATGATAAATTAAACAGTACTCTAAACATTCACACCGTGAGACCAAAGGAGGATTTTCTTAGGAGAGGATCATGAAGGCTCAATAGCTATTTGTGTTTGCTGAAATGAACTCCAAGAAATGGAAACAAGAGGCTTTTTGTTGTTTAACTTTTTTTTCTTTCTTCTTTGTTGCTGGCTTTGTTTTCTGTATCTTTTATTTTGTATGTAAGTTTATCTCTTTGGGGGAATTTAAGGGGAGCACAGAAATACTAGGACAAAAAGTGAACTAATTCAGCAGTGATATTCACTAGACACTATGTTGAAAATGAACTATACAACTTGTAGGAGGGGATTGGGAGGGAAAAACTGGAGAAAATGAGGGAAGAGGTGTAACATTAAAAAAGAAATATACCCATTACCTGACTTATGTAACTGTAACCTCTCTGTACATCACCTTTACAATAACAATTTTTTAAAAATCCTTTATTTTATCCAAAATTATCTGAGCTTTTTTGGGGGGAGGGGTTCAGTCGTGGGGGCTGAACTCTGGGCCTGGGCGATGTCCCTCAGCTCTTCAGCTCAAGGCTAACACCCTACCACTTGAGCCACAGCACCACTTCCAGCTTTTTTCTGCTTATGTGGTGCTGAGGAATCAAACCCAGGGTCTCATGTATGCAAGGCAAGCATTTTACCTCTGAGCCAACTTCTCAGCCCAATTATCTGAACTTTTAATGTCCCATTGTAATTCCTCGAGATTATATTTTTGTTTTATGTGCTTCCATTCCAAGTTTATCAATAGATAGTTTAAATCTATGTTTTTGTTTATTTGTTTTATCTAAGTACCCATAATCCTTTGAAAATAAGTACTACACAGTTTCTTTTTGAATATGATATAGATACTCCTGAATAGTCAAGAGACTGCTGATGCCAGAGTTTAAGGACATTTGACTCAATGTTGAATACAATCATCTATTTTGGTTTATTCTGTCCAAAAAAAGCTTTCTCATTGCAATGAATTAATCCTCTGATTTTTGGTAGTTTATAAAAATGAGTAAGTGTAGCCAGGCACTGGTAGCTCACACCTGTAATCCTAGCTACTCAGGAGGCTGAAATCTGAGGACCACAGTTCAAAGCCAGCCCCAGCAGGAAAGTCTGTGAGACTCTTATCTCCAACAAACCACTCAGAAAACTGGAAATGGGGCTGTGGCTCAAGTGATAGAGCGCTAACTTTTAACTGAAGAGCTAAGAATAGTGCCCAGGCCCAGATTTCAAGCCCTATGACCGACAAGAAACAAAAAGAATAAGTGAAAGGATAATTAATTCCACTGAGAAGTGATGGTGACTTAGAGTGGAATTTATTCTAACTAATTTTTGGAGGAAGAATTTGTAAGACTGGATAGTTGGATAGTTGAGCACTGCTCAAGAGAGGAGGGTGGCCATTCTTTCATAGCTCACAGCTGTAATCCTAGCTACTCCAAACTAAGCAAAGCTGCAGCTTCATTCTGCAGGGAGTAGTAAATCATAAATTCTCCTTCAATGTTTTTTCTGTATGGAGTCATAGGAAATAAGTGTTTGTAGTTACACTCTAGTCAATCACTCCAGTCTGCCACTGACAGACTGTCAGGTGAAGAGGTAAAACTTCTAGGCACCTCTGTTTCCGAGGGTATTCTTAGGGTCCAAAATGAGTGTTCTGAAGGTCTCAGGCACCAACCTGGTGCTCCATGTCTGTGATCTTTACTTAGAAGGCTGAAATCTGAGGATCCTGCTCTGAAGCCAGCCCAAGCAGATAAGCCTGGGAGACTATTACTTTCAATTAGCTATCTAAAAGCTAAAGTGGAGGTGTGGCTCAAATGATAGAGTACCAGCCATGAATGAAAAAGCTGAATGACAACTTGGGGCCCTAAATTCAAGACCTAGTACCACAACTCTCTCCCTACCCCCACTACAAAACCAAAAGGGTTTCAGGCAAATAATGTGAGAAATAGAGCCTATAAGGAAAGCATGTGCCAAGTGTTCTTAACACCCCCCCCCACACACACTCAAATATCTTCTTTTTGGAAAATCTCAGGGGTAATTTAAATAAAATATAAACATCCAAATTCATTTTCTAAGGACATCCCTTTATTATAAACAATACAGTTGAATACATAATAACAAATAAATATTTTCTTATTGAAGTGATCTTTAAAGCATCTATTTTTACAGTGGGCTCAAAATGACCATCATTATGTATGGCAGTGATAGTTCTTTTTCTTCATCTCTCACTTAAATAGCAGCCCCCCTCGGGATGCATGGTGATACCAGTTCCTTCTATTTTTCTGAATATGATATAATTTAATTCTTCATTGCTGAACAATATTCCATTGTGTAGACATACCACATTTTCTTTACTGACATATTAGTTTTTGTATACTTAGTACAACCTAAATGTCTGTGTGTAGTGCTAGATTTGAACTCACAGTCTCCTACTTACTAGACAGGCATCCTACCACTGAGCCATACCTATAGCTCTTAAGTTTTTGGCTAAGAGTCTCATGCTTATACTTTGTGTCTCATTTAAAGGAAAATAATATTGCTGTTTTTGAAACTTCTTTGTTGCCTTGTACACATTCATCACAGTTGTAGGATTATATTATCATGGTTCTTTGGTTTTCCTTTTCTAAACTGTTTCATAAATTAGGGGCATTTACTACTATAGCCCTGGTTCCTGGTGCATGTTAGGCACTGCATAAGTATTTCTTGGATGAATGGCAAACATTCAATGTGGATTTTATTCATGTGTTCTTTGGTCATTTGAACCTGTGTCGCAATTGCTCCTCCTACCAATACTAGAGTGAGAGGAGGGAAGAAAGAATGTGAGGAGGATGACAGAAAGAATGAGTAGACATGCCTACTCCCACATTACCTTTACTTGCAATTCCAATTTAGCATGGGAGCAAGCAAGGATCCAGCCTCTACTAGACAAGATTGGGGTTAGCAGGAAGAGTAATAGTTACTCTTTTTTAAAAGTTTATTTTTTAATATTTTATTATCTTTAAGTTATTATA